GAATGATTACTTCCCATGATTCAGAAATTATATTTATGTATCCTAAAATTGAATTTGCCTTTTTTGCAGTTGTATCACATTGCTGGCTCGTATTGGTTTGCAAACTTCCATTCCAAGATATTTTTCACCAGCATTATTACAAAACCAGGGCTTCCCCTCCTATATCTTTGCATTTTACTTTTCTTTCCTAAGGGAAAGAAAGAACCTTCCACTTATTTCTGTTAAATGTCATTTTCTTACTTTAACCAATTTCTCTAATCTCTCAAGGTCACTTTAAATTTGGTATCCTGCCCAATTCTGTATCGCCTGTGAATTTGATACTCATTTCCTCCACCTCGTCAGGTAAGATGTTGATGAAGGCTACCAGATCAGTATTGCAAAAAAAAAAAAAAAAAAAAACCACCCAAGGTAGAGTTCTAATTCTATTTGCAACCACCTCATCGTCATCCATATTTTTGTAGTCCAGACCTGGTAGTACTAAGTGTTGAAAAACAGAGGACCCATGCCCGATACCTCTCTCCAGTTTCATGAGGAACCATGGATGGGTACTCTTTAAGTATGACTTTCAAGCCAGCAACATATCCACTTAACTTTCATGCCATCCAACTCACATTTAACTAGCTTCCATGGTATTTGTTTAAATGCTTTCCTGGAGTTAAATATAAAGATGTGTTATATTTTTAGTACTGCCATAATCTACTGATGATATTTTTCAGACCAAAAAATGATGAAGTAAGATTAATTTGACCAGACCTGGTCTTGGAAAATCTGTGCTGTCTCCTACTAACATTACATTGTTTTCAAGGTGTGTACAGACTGATTGCATTATGTTCTGCTCTAGAATTTTCTCAGGTTTCAATATCAGATTGATTGGTACATAGCTTGCTGGATCTTCTTTTATTCCCTTTTTGAAGATAGGAGCTCTTGGCCTCCTTGTCATCTCCTATTTCTTATGTTTTCTAAGATTCTTCTTCCTCTTCTTCTTCCCCTTCTTCTCCTTCTCCTCGCAGCAACTTTTAATTCCAATTTCTATTTCTCCTACTCCAGGATTTCTCATGATATGATGTATGTAAGTTAAACAAATAAGGTAGAAAGTATCCAACCTCAGTGTACTCCTTTCCCAATTTTGAACCATTTAGTTGTTCCCTATCCCATTCTAACTATGCTTCCTTTCCCCCCATTTTATTTGTTTATTCTTACAAGCTAGGTATTACAATTTTCAAGAAGAAAAGAAAAAGTAACATACTATTACAAGTACCAGTTTAAAAGAATATAGAAAAATAGATAGAGGTAACAGTAATTAAAAAAAAAATTATAAAACAGCAATAAAATAGGAGTAGATAGCCAACACACTTCAGATACCATTGAACCACCACTGTAACAAAGATTACTTCAATATACAAGATTCTGCCCGAATCAACTTTCAGTGTCCTAGGTTACAGTCCGTTTGGTCATGAGACTTCAACTTGTTCATTATGAAGAGTCATTCCCTACTTTTCTGTCAAACTTAAACTGCAGTTCTGCTTCTTCAGCCAACTCTTCTCAATTCCAAGTTGCTTTAGGATGATGGTGCTAATCCACGTTGTTAAGATTTCCAAAGAGGATTGTGGGTGTCCTTCTCATTTTCATCATCTTCTTTTCTCTGTTCCACACCCCTTTTAGCATCTGTAGGCCAATCATTGAGTGGGATTAGATTGCTTACTCTGATTCAGATAATGTTCCCAGATGCCTTCAGTTTCCCTGCCTCACCTGTCTTAATTCTTTGCATTTTTTTAATTAAAAAAAATGTAAAACTGGCTTTTCAGTTTTTAATTGAAAAAACAATTGAAACGCTCTTAGGCACTCTTAGAAAAAAATATGGGAGAGTGAATGCACCTGCCCAGGAAAAAAAAAAAAGGCTGATAGGGAGCATACTGGAGGGAACTAAAGATGATGGCCTGCTAGTAATTTTTTATATTGTGACAGAACAGGCTCAACATGGCAGTGCCAGGGTAATCATTTTGAGAGAGTGCTTACCACATGGTTGCACAATTTCAAATGTTCTTGTCCCCAAAAGATTGCCTGACCCTGATTTAAATTAGATAAAGGGACCTCCTTGGTTCCAGTTGCCTTTTTTGTAAAAGTGCAGTCCACTTCTGAATTAGTAGGCTAAAATTATGCATGTGGCTTAGGAAGAGTCAGGAAACTATACTGAGCTTGGCAAAATGGCCATAATTTCTCCCTTCCCCCAATACATTAGGAGACCCTACATACCCCCTGAAAACATTTGTATAAAGATAAGGATTATTTGTCTTCAGAGGAACTCAACCATAAGGTGTTTCTGCTTGAGATATGACTTGTAACTGGCAATTCCTGAACAGGGGCTGATGCAGAGAAACAAGGCAATTGGCTTCTTCTGAAGATGAATTAATCCGTTGCATCTTTGCATTAGCAGCAATCTGATCTAGAGATAAAGCAAAATTAGTTACCTCCAAACGGAAACTGATTGAAAAGAAGATTAGAGCAGTCAACCATAACAGAATACAGGCAGTAGATGGGAGCTTTTGGATTTAAGGAGCCTTTGATGATTTCCCAATTCAGTTTCTCACAGAACAATCTATCAGGGTATTACTTGCTAACTGCAGAAGCCAGTGGTGCCATCAGAATGAGGAGGGAGGACTTCCAGATGCAATGAATCTTTTCCATTAAACTCAAAGGAATAAAACAAAAACAAATGCCCGCTTAACAATTTCAACTCCCTTTAAATAGTGCAGAACTATGAAGTGTGACATGCTTTATAGATTTTAAAATATGAACAGAAATATGTAACATTATGCTGGACAAATCAGAGAATTTGGTTAGATGAAAATCCTCTGCTCCTCCATCAAAAAAATATCCAAATGCTGACAATGTGGCTTACTATTACATTTTGAAGGAGGTGAACTAGTAGAGTATTATTATGGAGAGGAGAATGTAATCATTTGGGCAACTTGAAGGCACAGATGTTGCTTTTGTGAAGGCTCAACTATTTAATCCAAACTCTTGGCTTAATTAAATAAATGTTTTGTACAAAGTCAAGAGCAAATACTTTGGGAAAAAATGAATTAAGCCATAGAAGCAGAGTTTGCTCTGAAAGTGACTGTGAACTGATATAAATCACCTCTCAAATATGCAATGCACTATAATACATTAAAATCCAAATATAATTGATTACAGAATAAAGGATGAGAACAACAAAATCTATCACAATCAAGCAACAACAGCTGCTTCACAAGGAAAAGTTTTAAGATAACAAACCAAGACATTATAAGCTGCAAATAATACGGCTGTGTTATTGCAAGAATGTGAAAGATACTCAATTCCACTGGCACATACTAAGAAACAGTTATACCGATCAGCTTCTGTCTCACCTACTAAGAAAACCCCAATCATTTGTTTAGAGATAATTTTTCTTAGAATTTTTCATAAGATAATTATAATTTTTATCACTTGATGTAATCTACAAACCTATTTTACTGTTCCATTTATATAATTTAGGAAGTAGTTAAATCATATTAACTGCCAGCCAGAACTCTGAACCACTGTTGACTTCTGTGTATTCTTAAAATGGTCTATTTAATCCTGCTCTTTGCTATTATTAAGGGTGGTGGTTTTCACCCACAAGATACCCTGTTTATGCCATGATTAATGACTTTCATTATAGGCTTTTCAAAGGTGAAACCTCTTGAAAATCCAGACATGGGATGTTTGAATCCTTATAAACACTTAAAAAAAAATTCTGAAAGTTAACATACATTGATTAGCTTCTGATTTCATGGTAAGGTTGCTTTTTTAAAGAAATGCACTTAAAGGTTTAACTTCTGCACTCAAATACAAGACCCGAGGATGGATAAACTTGCAGTTTTCCAATTAGTTTTATTACTTTGTGAAATGGCTTGGAGACATTTGTTCAGCTGCCCAGTAATTAAATAAGAATCACTCAGTTTCTTCTGCAGCAGGGAAAGACCAAAAGAGAACACCGTTTAGCTTTTCTGTATAATAATCATTGTTTTTAAAAATTCCAGGTTTATTGTAATGATCTTTTTACAATATTATTTAAAAGCCTGTTTCTGCAGTTATTTGGTCTTCAAGATGAAATTGAATCAAATAGATAGCAGTTAGCTTCCTAAACAAATATCACCACATCCCAAATAACTATTTTTCTAACCAGCAGAAGTTTTTCCCCAACCCCACTTCCTTTCTGATATACATGTTTTATGGGCCGCTTTTACAGCAGTACCACCCTAGGCTGCACTTCACTTTTTCGACTTTCTTTGTAATTTCACCCTCAACTCAGAATGTTTCTTCATTTGCTTTATTACAAAATTAGCGGAAAACCGAGGTGAGGTCTTTCAACACCTGTCCCACTCTGACAAACAACATACCACAAGAGGCAACAGAGCAATTTACTGAAACTGCTGAGAAATGGCACAATTGAATAAGCCAGCAAAGGACTGGGAAAGAAATCACATCCCCTCCCCCCCCCCCGCATTCACGCTTTGAAAACTGCTACATGGTGTAATTAGGCAGGGCCCACCTGGGCTGAGATTGGAGGCTTTCATTTGCAGTGTTGCCATCATCCTGAAAGCAGTGATTATTTTAATATCGTTGCCAATTTCATTAGGCATATCATGCACCAGGGTGTGGTGTGCTGGGAAAGAACCACATGTACTAGAAAAGCAAGCAGTCACAAGCAACTCCAGACATGCTGCTATCACCTGCCTTTTGCTGATCTCTTTTTTCCCTTTTCTCCTCCTTCTGAAGTACAGAGCACGTTATGCAAATGACAGGATGTTTTTTATATATTATTCCGTCTTCTTGTTTTAAGGAAGCAGACTGGAAACTTAGTTAGCTTGCCAGTTGGCTTCTGACCAGAAACTATTTTATAGCTTAGCAGTGACAAAATTCTGAGAAATTATTTTTCCAGAACTATGACAAAAACCAGGCATTTCATCAGCAGTCCTGGGAGGAAAAAGATAATTAACACATCTAACTATCTTGTGCAACAGGCCTCTCCCTGTTAGCTGTGCCCTGGGAAGTATTTTCATTTACTAGTGAACATTCATGCTGTGTTCCATTTGGCTAAAAACTGTAACAGGAACACTATGGCTGAAAATTGCTGCTATGGATCTCACTCCCATATCATCTCTAATTTCATAAGTGCATTAGCCTGACCAGAGCCAAATCTCATTCAAACAATAAATACTCTTACCCAGAAACCAACACTGTTGACCAACAGTGCTAAAATCTATCTTCCCATTTCATGTCAGTTTCTTTGGCCAAAAAAATTTCCTGGTCTTCCATCTCATCCCCCAAATGCTTTAGAATTCCTTTCAGTTGTGTTTTTAAGCTTACGTTAGTGCTGTAAGGTAGAGCAGGCAATATGAGGAGGGGCAGGCTGGAGCTCAGCCTCCCAACTTTCCAGAGCGTGGCAAGAAAACAACTAGTGATGCACTGATTACAAACAATGGAAGGGGCTGAATTTGGGGAGCTCATTTTCTTTCTTTTTTCCAGGATTCTAAGGGTGGGAATGGGTGCCAGAGATCTTTTGCTTACATTTCCACCCTTAAAAAATCTTGAAATCACCATTTTCAGGCTGAATTTGGGCCAAAAAAGACCCCCAAAGGCTTTGAGGATTGAAAGTGCTTGAGGAAAAAAGAGAATTCCCATTTCCATTCTTAATATTGGGAGGAAATGTGCAATTTCCTGCCAAAATTTGGGAGTGCAATCTTACACATAGAAGCAAAAATTTGCCCATTAAACCTTCCCTTAGGATTTAACTAAAGCAGGAAAAGTGACAGGGAGAAACTGGAACTGATCCAGGGAGATCTGTCCCCCTCACCAGCCCAAGAGGGTAGAATAATGACAGAGTATGGAGCTTTAGGAGACTCCACTCCTCCTCAAAATCCCTACCTCCTAATATAATTCATTGATTTCTTATACAGGAGTCAAGGTCACTTGATGTTTGTTTTTGTAAAGCTGTGAGTAAAGGGTAAAATATGGAAGAGGGGTGTCATCTGAGGCTTTGTGGACCAGATCGGCTGAACTGGTAGGCTCATTAAGTTTATACAGGATCCTGTTTCTTGTATAATAGACATGTTTGAGACATGAATGAAGTAACAAAAGCTACAACAAACTCTTCACATGCTCACTTATTGTTACACACTAGCAGCATCTCCTGCTCCCTTTCTACATGCTAGCCTGAATGAAAAGATAAACTTTTCATACATTCTGATGGCCCATGTTGTACAATAAGAAATGCAGGCTGCCAATAAAAGAAACTAGCCACCTTTCTTATTATTCTTAGCCTTGTAGCTCTGCTCTGTGCATATGTAAAAACCAAGAGAGTTTAATGGAGCTTGCTGCAAAACGGCTGTGTCCCTGTCCCTTGGATGCTGTGATCGGGGAACAATTTTACTAAATGGAATAGAAGTTGTAACACTGGCACTTTCTAATGGACTTAGGATAATACAATTATATCATCAATCGATGCATTGTTTCTCTAACTTTTGCTATCTGAAAGCAGCTGCACAAATCATAACTGGATATAACTCAGGAAAACTTAGCAATAACTATCTCATCAAGCTCCAGTCTATAATTATGTGATTTTTTTTTTTTTAAAAACCCTCTAAACCCAGAATCTGTAGGAATAAATCTGATGGTTTGTGTTTTGTCTCTGGTGGCAGCAGCATCTGAGGAAGAGAAAAGTTATTACAGCTACAGTATTATGTGTAAGACTATGGAAATTAACTACAATATTGCTGCTTTAATATTCAAAAGTATACCTAGAGATCTGGAGAACTGACACAACTCAGCACTGGCTTTAGTAAATGTTCATTATAAGCAATAAAAACTTTTGAATAAAATAACAGTGTCAGTCCCCTGTTGTGTTGAGAGAAATTAATGTATTTATTTTAACATTTAAATACTAGCAGTATACTATAAATCATTTAATTCAGAGGCAGTTTTTCATGAAGAGTCAGTTTGATCAACACAAGCCTCCTGTTTGGTTCTTCTTAAAAAGCACAAGGGAAAGTTATTTTTCATTTTAAAACATTACTAGTAAAAAATATATCCCTGACAAACCATATATGCTTCCTTTCTCAGGAATATTGTTAAAGAGACAACGATCAAATGATTGCCTTTAATTCACAGGAAAGATTTCAGTAGTGAGTAACTCATGAAAGGACAGATTGCCCTTCAGTTAAAAAAAAAACCTATTATGCAGGCAAACTTACATATTTAGGGGTCTGTGATTTATCAACTGAATTGATACCAGTAAGCAGCCCTAAAAGATAGGAGAGAACCTTCCAAAAAGTGAATGGAGACAAGCTGTTAATACTGAAGATTCACTTTTTTGTCAAAGTAATTATTTGATGGGATCTATTTTAACAGATAAATCGGGAAGGACGCAGATATACCCCACTTGAAAATCAGATTATTATTCCATAGCTACCTTCTTTTGGCACTTGATCAGAAGTTTTGCTTTTTCCTGTAAGTTTTTGTCCAGAGGGCAAGTTTACACTACTCTGTGCACATTGATATTCTTCCTCTTTTTATGTAGCTCTCTACTTGCCAATCAAAGTTTTCTAGGGACCTTTGCTTTGGGGTGTTTAGTGGAGATAAATCATATTCCTGAAAAAAGTCTTTTACAGCCTGTTGACTGGCCACTCTGTGAATCTGATCAGTCTGTGATGCTGTTGAGAAGATATCATTGTTGAAGACTAGTTGACAAAGACAGTCACTGTCTACAGAGGAAGGAGGAACTTTTTCTAGAGTGGACCTCACATCCTTTCTGTCCCTGGAAAAAGTGCATGTGCATGCTGGTGTTGCAGCAGTCTGACACTTTTTAAGTTGATTGACAACATTGTCCTTCAGCTGATGTTTGGTAGAAAACATGTTTTCTGACTCTACTACAGATAGTACTCTCTGGTTCTCAAGGTTTGTTGGTTCTACTGTTATTTCTTCCTTTTTCTCTTTACATTGTGCAGACCAAGCACACTGTTCTTGTCTACAATAAGGCACAGTTCTGTTAGTGGATTCCGGGCAGCACTGCTGGGAAATTTCTGGGTCAGGGTAATACTTGTTCTGTCTAGTACATTTTTCTGGAGAGTCAAAGCAAACTCCCTTTGGAACATGATGAGTGGTTGCCAATTTTAGTAGTTTTATCGGCTTTTCTCTCTTCTTGTTTTGCGTGACTCGTTTAACCGATTCAGGAACTTTAGACTCCAGAAGTGAATAGTTTTCAGATGTCAAATATTGCTGAAAATATACCTGACATGCCTCCTTCTTCACCACAGGGATAATGGAGCAGGGCTTTAACCAAGCTACAAATTCCAACAGCTCTTGGAAAGATGAGTGGTCAGAATAAGGAACAACATATATATTAGGGTGTTTGATTTTCACTGGTCTGCTGGTAGGGAGAATAGCTATAGTTGGATGACTCCGATTCCAGTTGGTTATTGTTTCTTTGCAGATTTCTGAAAAATCCACAGCATGAATCCATCCAGCTCCTTCTTCAGAAGTGAAAACATCCTCCATTTCCAACAGTTGCATAAGCTCCAACTTCTGGGGACTCACTACAATCCATGTATGAAATTCTTGGGCCAGTTCCACCAAAAGTGACTCCTTTCCCAAGCTGTATATACCTACAAGATAGCAAACACCTGTTAGCATTTCAAAAGCCAGGTAGCGTAACACTATAGTAATTCAATCTTCAGAGTGGAATGTATTCAACTATTATTATTACATCAAATCAGAGCATTTGAAATATGGCTTGGCAGTTGAAGACTTCAAAAACCTGAAACACTACACCTTCCCTTGGTGGTCTCCTCTGCTAATGGCTATTGGCTCAATTGGCCGCTCCATGCAACTGTTTTATCATTGCTGATACATGTTCATATTTTATGGAGTCAAACCATCTTCCAGATTAATGATTAGATAGGATCAATTTTCACAGGTGACTTTGAGAAAATATGCTGCATCTTACTACTCTGGAGGGCATTCAACACTATAATAATGATAATTAGTAGCAGTTAAATATAGACTAAAATTAATACTAAAATAAATATGAAATTATTAAATTTGTAATCTTTGCCTCCTTGAAAAAGACAGATTTCTCCAAGTCCTGACTTCATTAAATCAGTTCCATGTTCTCCCTTTGGGGACCCTCTATAAACCAGGGTTGCACAACAGGCCAGACACTGCACTTGGCTTTTCAAAGATGTACCAGCAATCACATTCTAAAAAGCAGTCATGGCCAGAAAATAACCCTGGATTTTAATTCATATAATTTAACCTGAATTAATATGAGACAGAGCCTGTTTGGTGTAGTGGCTAAGGTACCAAGGTAGAAACCAGGAGACTGAGTTCTAGTCCTGCCTTAGGCACAAAGCCACCTGGGTGACCTTGGGCCAGTCACTCTCTCTCAGCCCTAGGAAGGAGACAATGGCAAACCACTTCTAAATCTTGCCAAGAAAACTGCAGGGACTTGTCCAGGCAGTCACCAGGAGTCAGGTGATAATTTTATTATTCTACATGTATTTAATGAACTTCCCTTTCTAACACCTTAAAATTTAGAATTCAGTAGCAACTTCTGAAAGTATCTGGAGCATTGCATCTGAGACTTTCTGGAGATGGGGAATGTTTGGGGCCTTGACTTGTGCACCTCTGGTGTAAACTTGCTATGATGGTTATCTGGGTTGGCACTCCATGGCCTACCATGAGCCAACAGGCTGAAACCAAAAGGATTCAGAGAAAATAGGCTCAAACCAGGGTGAAATGCCAAAAAGAATTTTACTGAATAAATATTAATAAAATTACAGAGAAAGGTATACAATCCACATCTATTCTGCTTCCCCAAATTCCCAGAAATGACAGTAGACAGACTAGCCCTCCTAGGAATGTGGATCTATGTTGAGATTGAAAGTGGCCAGATTTTATAATCTTTCTATACTTTTTTTTTAGGAGACAGGGAGTATATAGTAACACCTGGAGATGGCTTGGTAGCCCATCTTATCAGGACCTTGGTCTCAACTTCAGAGTTGACTCTCTGCCAGTGATATTTTAAATAAGGCATTGTCTCTAGCAGACATCACCTGGGAAATAATCTGATGAACTATCTTGTCAATAACTTGGGAACACAGATAGTTGACCATTTGCTAAAATATTTTTATGGGGAAAGATTGAATTTAGAGTAAGGCTGCTTGTATGCCCAGCACCCCCAACAGGTGTTAGATTAGGGAACTCATGCTGTCCTCTTTAGCTTAATCATTATAAGTAGCAATACACATAAAGCTTGCTAAGTAACTTCTTCTAAGCACAGGTATGGATAAATTTACAACACAAAACTTGCTAAGTCTGCAGAAATTGCCAATGCTGCTAAGTAACTCTATCTACACATTACTTCTTGTATGTGGAAAGGGGAAAAAAGGGTCCACACTACTATTTCCTTGCCAGTCTGCCATGCCACTGTACTACCTAAAGGATTCTCAGATCAGTGAAGAATCTATATGACAACTTCTTCCCATTCTATTAGATCCTAAAATTAGATCTTCTTACCAATCTTCACCTGATGATCAGGGTGACTCCTGATCACCCTTTTGATTTGCTCAGTGGCCTGTTGCCGGGATGGTAAGACAACTTCAGGATGACAGTTGGTATTGTCCAGATAGAGGAAATTGATAAGCTTTGAGTTCTTCAGAACTGGCTCCTGCTGCATGTTAGGAGTGTAACGAAAATCACCTGTTAAGACACAGATATAATGCGACTGTCAGGAGAAACTGCTCTTGGGAAGCAGAAGCCTAAATTAATTAAGAATAAATGTCTTTGGTTACTGTAGTAGGAAGCAGTGATGTAAATTTTCTAAAGCATTTTTGAATGTGAAACTCATATTTCATTGAGTCTTGCAAAATTACTGAATGACCAGCTACTAGTTTACAGCTACTGTTGAATGTATGTTGACACAAAGTGGGATTTACATTTTCTTCTTCCATATAGGTCTGAATCTCAGACATTATACCATGCCAGTCTGCACAGTTATAGAAGTGGGAAGCTACACTTTTAGCTTGCTATTACAGCTAGCATCAAACAGCAAGCAAGCGAAAGCGAGAGAGAGAGAGAGAGAGAGAGAGAGAGAAAAAGAAAGAAAGAAGGAAGGAAGGAAGGAAGGAAG